GGGAGTCTTCTGTGCCTCCTGGATTTCAAAGTCTGTTTCCTTCCCCAGATTGGGGAAGTTCTCTGCTATGATTTGTTCAAGTACTCCTTCAGTGCCTTTCTCTCTTTCTTCCTCTTCTGGACTTCCTATGATAGGGATATTGTTCCGTTTGATTTTATCACTCAGTTCTCCTTTCGTGCTCCTGTTTCAGATATCTCTCTTTTTCTCGGCTTCCTATTTTTCTATAATTGTGTCTTCTAATCCGCCTATTCTCCTCTCTGCTTCTTCAGTCCGTGCATTGGACGCCTCCATTTTATTATGCACCTCATTTATAGCATATTTTAATTCATCACAACTATATTAAGCTATATGTTGTACGTATAGCATCGTCACAGGGTCCCCCGTGGCGCATCGTCCTATCCATAATTGACCACTTCAAAATACGAATTTGTCCAGAGACCGAGAAATAGACAGAAATATACCAGACACGTAGAGACAAATAAATAGGTTTTTAGCGGCTGGTTGACCCTTCGGTTTGGGGGTACTGGGGGGGGTCTTGGGGAATCCCGGAGGAGCCCCCCAAAAGTTATGCCTGAAGCGCAAGTAGGGTTTTTGGGGTAAGGGACGAGGGTGTTACAGTGCACACGTTGTACGTATAGCATCATCACATAAGCACCAATTACAATTGTACAGAACCCATGGTAACAGCTTTGACCATTCAGTATCTGTGAGGTGTTCATTACTTTTGGTGGGATCCAATCAAGACTTTTGAGAATCCTTTGAAAATGACCAGTTATGAGGTGAGTCAAAGGGACCACGTGGGGTTCAGGCAAGATGTGAGTAATTGGCTAGTTTGTACAAAATAATTGTTTGCAGTTCCAAGCCCTGACTCAAACCACAGGAATGTTTTTTTGATTAGCTGATCTGAAGGCGGTTCGAGGATGGCTTCAGCCTTCAGCAGTCTGAGGCTTTTCCTGCAACTGGGGCTACGTGCAGCCCGAGGTTGCCTCTTAATAATCTCGAAATGACGTTACTTAGGCTCTTCACTCTGCACCTGCAAGTACTGTTATCTTAAAGGAGGCTTATTGACTGTCCGGGGCCTGTCCATTCAGGTACAGTTCTTTTAATGGTGTCTCTTGGTCTCTCTTGTTGAGACTTTGGTTATTTTATTTCCCTACTCGTAGTATTAGTTTGGACTCTCCATCCTGTGTACTTTGGCTTGTTTCTTGTGGTCGCCCTGGAAAGGAAAACAGACAGACAAACAAATAGGGAACAAAAGCACGCACAAGCACAGACAAATCAAACAAATCAGTAAGCCAAAAGGGAAAAAAGAAAAAAAAAATAAAACAGCAAAAGACAAGGACAGTGTAAAAGCATAAAACCAGAAATCCCATCTACAAATAAAGAGTAGTGTGCTGATGGAGAAGCATATATAAAAAGAGGAATAACAGGCGTGGGGAGAAAGAGAAGTTGAACATTGACCAGGTAGAGAGACTAAAAGGCTTACTTCACATAAAGAGAAAGGAGATTACAGCAGCAGGTAAGAATAGAAAAGGAAAGAAAGAAGAAAAGAAGAAGGAAATAAAACGAAGATAGTGTTACCCAGAGAAACTATATAGTCTGATTATTTCAGAGAGAAAGGAAGGTAACGATGAAGATAGAACATGCATCAAGCGAATGGATTATATATGCTTGTTTAAGTGAGCCTATGTGTTGATCTTGGGGGAGGGGCTGCTTCTGTATCCAGGCTCAGATATCCAAGCAACTATATAAGGAGGATGGGCATGATTTGTGTAGGTGGGACTAGCCTCCACTATGAGTCCCCTGGCCCCACCTCGGTGGTTGTGGGGAGAAAGATGGCAACCCTTCTCCCAACCAGGTGTTGTACAGCACTCTTTTGGGTCTGATCTCACTGTGCCCGGATACAGCCAAGGTGGGCTGTGTTTCATATCCCGCGCCCAGCCTCATTTCCAGATCTTACTGAGTTTGCGATAATAATACCGCCTGGAGTGTAATCCCACAGGCCCAGGTGCTTCCTACCAGGGGATCAGAGAATTGAGTATGGGACTGGCTCCTCTTGAATCCTACTGTAACTTCAATCCTCCGGCTCATGGCCCAAAGAAATCTACATGGCTAGAGGCAGGATTTCTCTCCCAAAGCCCTGCAGCTAGAGATGGGATGATATAATTTTTCTCTGTCCCGGTTGCGCTTTTTTCTCCCTCCCAGGGACCGTTCTAAGATTCCCCAGCCGCTTTATTTTCTTCTTTTTCTCTCTCTGCAAATGGGGCTTCCTCTCCCTGCCCCCACCCCCTGCCATGCCTTCTTGCGCAGGCCCATTTCTTTCTTCCCCAGTTCACATTTATGCACCTATTAGGGCTGTCTTTCTAGTGAACTCAGTCTCTTTTCCTCCCAGCCTCTTGTGGTTCAGAGATGTTTGGCTTCATTCCTTCTTTGTTTGAAAGATGCAGGCAGGAGATAGAGAACTCCCTACTTCTCCACCATCTTTCTGTCCCTCTTAACCAGAATAAAAGCTCAAATGTCATTTTTTAATGCCAAATGATATTCCATTATATGTCCTAAATTTTGTATATCCATAAATTTCGCAATAGACATTTGGTTTATTTCCACGTTTGGCTACTGTGAATAATGCAGTGATGAACATTGGCGTCCAAGCATCTCTTTGAGTTCCTGCTTTCACTTCTTTTGGGTAGATACCCAAGGTGGAATTGCTGGATCATAGGTAATTTTATATTTAATTTTTTGAGGCATTTTCAAAATGTTTGCCACAAGTGACTATACCATTTTGTATTTCCATCAGCAATGTACAAGTGTTCCAATTTCCCCATATCCTTGCCAATATTTGTTATTTTCAGGTTTGTTTTTATGTATACAATGGTTATTTTAATGGGTATGAAGTGATATAGTATCTCATTGAGGTTTTGATTTGCATTTCCCTAATGACTAAGGATGTGGAGCATCTATCCATATTCATATTCTTTTTCAAACAACTTCTTAAGTCTATTTATTTTTGAGAGAGCGTGTGTGAGCAGGAGAGGAACAGAGAGACAGAGAGAGAAAAGAAATCCCAAGCAGGCCCTGCATGGGTAGTGTGGAGCCTGCTGTGGAGCTCAATCTCACAAAATGTGAAATCATGAGCGAGCTGAACCTCAGCCTGAGCTGAATCACGATCTGAAGTCAGACGCTTAACCGACTGGGACGCCCAGGCCCCCTTTCATATTCTTATTGATCATCTGTGTATCTTCTCTGGCCAATTGTCTATTGAAGTTCTTTGCCTACTTTTAAAGTTGGGTTTTTGTTGGATTTTTGTTGTAAAATTTGTAACATTTTAAAACTTTGATAAGGATCATTTAATCTATTTTTTCTTTTGTTTCATGTGCTTTTGGTGTCATAGTCAACAAACAATTGCCAAAAACAAAATCATGAAGACTTTCCCCTATGTTTTCTTCTAAAGTTCCAGAATTTCAGTTCTTATGTTTAGGTATTTGACCCATTTTGAGTTAATTTGTGTGTGTGTTTCATTCATTTGCATGTGGACTGCCTAGTTTCTCTGTGGCATTTGTTGAAAAGATCGACTTTCCCACTGTAAGGTCTTGGCATTCTTGCATGAAATCCAGTTGGAAGGGAACCTAAAAAGAGTTCCCTTTTGGGTGGCTCAATCCAACTCTTGATTTTACCTCATCATGATCTTACAGTTGTGAGATTGAGCCCTACTTCAGGTTCTTCTCTATGCAAGGAGGCTGCATAGGTTTCTCTCTCTCTCTCTGTCTCTCTGTCACTCTCTCTCTCTCTCCCTCCCTCCCTCCCTCTTTCTCTGCCTCTTTGTCTCTCGCTCTGAAAAAAAATTGAAATTAAAAAAAAAAAAACTTTTTTTCCCCTGGAACCCATAAAATCATTTCGTGTTCCTTTAGATGGATGACACTAACACATTGCTAAGTGCTTGAGTTGAGTGCAGAGGCTGGAAAGCAAGATTTTAAATTCAAATACCAGCCCTTCCACTGACGAGCTGAGTGACTTTGAGCAAGTTATTGTGCTTTTCTGAGCACTCATTTCTTCTGCTAAAAGGGCTGTAAAACTCTAACCCCACAAAAAAACCTGTACATGAATGTTTAGAGCAGCTTTATTCACAGCAACTTAAAGGTGGGACCAACCCAAATGCCCTTCAGTAGTTAGACATCCGAACTGGGGCTGGTTCATAATATGAAACACCATTCAGCGATAACTAGGATCAAAGTACTAGCGAATGCAAGAAACTGGACGAATTTCCAGACAATTATACTGAATGAAAAAATAAAAAAAGAGCTAGACCCAAAAGTTTACATACTATTACAGGATTCTATTTATGTAACATTCTTAAAATGACAAAATTATAAAACTGGGGAACAGATTAGCCATTGTCAAGGGGTAAGGGATTTGAAGGGAGGAGGGAGGGAAGAAAGGAGAGAGGTGGATATGGATATAAAAGAGCAACACAAGGAATCCTTGGGATTATGGGAACCTCTTTGTCTTGACTATGGTGGTGGATGCGTGAACCTGCACATGTGATAAAATTGCAAAATACTAAATACACTGGACACACACACATAAGGGCAAGTAAACCATTGGGAAATCTGAGATTGGTGGATTGTAGCAATGTCAATACCCTGGTTGTGAAATTGAAATATAGTTTTGCACGATGCTACTACGGTGGAAACTGAGTAAATGCTACACAGGATCTCAGTGTTATTTCTTATAACTGCAATCAAATCTACAATTATCTTAAAATAAACAGTTTAATTAGAAAAATACCAGCCCTATAGGCTTTCTGGGAGGATCAGGTGAGGTAGTATTGGGGGAATGAAATTCATATAACAAAAGTTTTTTGACACTTCTCATTTTTTCAGACACCATTTGAATGCAAAGCTGAGAACAACAAATAGACAGGTTCCATGCTCTAGTGGAAATTTTATTCTCCTAGAGTGCCACACAGAAATGTATCCTTAAAATTGTCCTTAAAATTGGCTCGATATTATCCACTAATTGTCAAGTAGTGTGCATTGAGTACTCAAATGTAGTGAAAATAGACTCGAAAAGATTACAGAATTTGTCTAGTTGCCAGCTAGAACAAGGAGAATTTGAACCCAGATCTGAGCACCAGGTTGTGGATCATCATCGCTAAACTGATTGCCTTCATGGATGCCTGGGTGGCTGTCAGTTGGGAATCTGATTTCAGCACAGGTCAGGATCTCGCAGTTTGTGAGTTCGAGCCCCGTGGCTGGCTCTGTGCTGAAATGCAAGAATGCAAGAAACTGGATTCTGTGTGTGTGTGTGTGTGTGTGTGTGTGTGTGTGTGTGTGTGTCTGCCCCTCCTCCGTTCACGCTCTCTTTCTCGAAAATAAACATTAAAAAATTTTTTAACTTAAGCTAATTATCTTCAACTAAGGAATGCTGTTATCTTCTCAGGACAACCCAGAAAAGACTGCCGAAGTGGAGTGTGGGGACTTTTACAACACCGGGGATAGAGCAACTATGGATGAAGAGGGCTACATCTGGTTCCTTGGGAGGAGTGACGAAGTCATCAATGCCTCTGGGTAGGTATCGCTGATCTGAGCCTGGAAGCATCACCCTCACATGCCTGAATGCATCCAGCTTGTCCAGACTTTTGTCCATGCATTGGTGATTTGACCCTCAGGTTAATTCTGAACAAAGATTTGTCAAGAGGTCCTTTTCTGGGTGTATCTCTGTATATTCCCCAAGCCCTGCATCCAGAAGAATCAATCTAAGTGAAGTTCAGCAAGGTCGTCAAGAGAAACACAAGACATTACACAATTTAGAGATGCCTGCGTAGCTCAGTCGGTTAAACATATGACTTCCACTTGGGTCATGATCTTGTGGTCTTTTGAGTTTGAGCCCTGTGTTGGGTGCTGTGCTGACAGCTTGGAGCCTGGAGTCTGCTCGAGAATCGGTATCTTCCTCTCTCTGTCTCTCTCCCTATCTTGTGCTCTGTCTCTCTCTCAGAAATAAACAGAGCATTAAAAAAAGTCATTATACAATTTAAAGGATTCGGCAGGAAGACTTTACTTTGGACACTACTGGTTAAGGAACTTTATTCTATGCTTGGCTTCTCTGATGGGACAGATCATTTCACAGAAAAACTTAATAACAAATAACAGCAGTTAACCTCTGTGGACCACTTACTATGTGGAAGCACTCTGTGCAGCGATTTATATAACGGGCCTCTCAATGCTAGAAGGTAGATGCAGTTATGCCCATTTCCTCAGATGAGGAAACTGAGGTAGTGACCAGTGAAGAAAGTTCCCTAAAGTTTCAAAGAGAACTGGCTTCAACCCTCAGTTGAACCAAAGTTAACTGGCTCCGAGACTGTTGTCCCTAAACACATGATTTAAAAGATTTTTGGCACATTACACTAGAGTAACAAGTTCTTATGGATATTTCAGGGAGTGAGTTTGTTTCCTTCCTTTATTTCTAAAACATGCTAATCTAATGAGGAATAGAATGCAGAATCTGTATGCATGTTTAAGTTAAAGGTTGAGGCTGTCAATAGGTTACATGCCAGGGGAAGCTATTGGAACCAAGATCCCGGAGCTCAGGGAGGATTACACACGGGCCCTCTTCCCAGAGCAGAGTCAGTGAGTGAGAATCCCTGTGGAGCATGTGAGTGTCCTATTGCGTCCAGGAAGTGCAAGACAGAGGCAGCACACAGGTATCTGGGCTCCCTGAGACAGTTATGTGACATAACTAAGGAAGATGTGGCTCTTCAGAGTATGACACTTGAAGCCCTAGGTCACCCAGCCCTGACAGCTGCTCAGAAACCAAGAAGGAGTCATTGACCCTCCAGGTACCGAATCGGGCCAACAGAGGTGGAGAATGCCCTGGCGGAACATCCAGCAGTGGCTGAATCAGCTGTGGTGAGCAGCCCGGACCCGATTCGAAGGGAGGTAAGGAGAAAGACAAGGAGGTCACCGTGTCTATGTGCAGGCACCAGGAAGGCAGGAGCAGAAAAGATCCTCCAGACCATATTTCCCCAGCCTCCCACCTAGGGTGAGGGAGGGCTGAGTGCAAGCGCATGTGCATGTACACAGTGTGGTCACCAGAGGACACTGTGGCCCCAACTGTAACAAAATGGTGCTTCTGAATCCTGCTGCCTGTGTCTGCCAACCTCTTATTGAATGACCCCTTACAATGTGCCAGCTCATTTCCCACTCACAACAGCCTAATTCATTAAGGATTCTGATATCCTTTATTAGAGTAAAGAAACAAGCATAAAGAGGTTAAATAACTTGCCTGATCACAAAGCCCTGAGGTGGTGGAGATGGGATGGGAATCTGAGTCATCCTTCTCTGGATCACGCATTCATTGATTCAGCAAGTGTGTGCTGACTACCTATGTCCAAGGCCCTGTGCCTGCAATAGGGACATACATAATAAAATATAGTTAATGACCAACATTTATTTCATGCCCACAGAATTCTATCTACAGTAACAGTAAAAATGGTGATGTAAAAGATATGAATACAAATAATTTAAAATTGCCTCATGTTTCTCATGTATTATCTCAATGAATCTTAACATATATGCAGTGACAGGTAAAGCTATGCTATCCCCACATCACAGAGAAGGAAATGGAGGCTGACAGGTCATGTTATTTTCTAAGGTAAAGAGTAGAAATTGGAAATATGGAAACTAGTCCTGTTTTCTTGCAAAGGCTCAACTCTCAAGTTGTTTTTCCATTTACTTAAGAAGCATTTGGTTTTTAAACTATAGAGTTAGTTACCACTCATGCTGAGCCTCCACTCTGGTTCTACACTGCAGGTGGTGAAGGCATTTATTGTCCTGACCCCGGAATACCTCTCCCATGACCAGGACCAGCTCACCCAGGAGCTGCAGCAGCATGTGAAGTCAGTGACAGCCCCATATAAGTACCCGAGGAAGGTGAGTGAGGGCCCATGGATGGGATGTGGTCCCTGCCACAGTTCCTCGGGCTCTGCTGCCCCAAATGCAACTTGGGTGGCCTGAGTGAAGCTGATGTAGCCAACACAATGAACATTTTCTGATGCAGAAGCAGGAGTTCAACTTAGGGATATGGGGGAACCAACTTAATCAGATGGAACCTTTATCCTGTGTCAAAAACATGTCTGTCAGGTCAACATAAAGAAAAACATGAGACAAGTGCCCAGAGATCAAGATTATTTGTAATCTTTCAAAATTGAAAAAGAAATTCAGATCAACATCTGCCACACATTTTGGAAACATTATTCCTAATAAGAAATACATTCTAAATTCCAACCCAATACATATATAGATACATAGCAAATAGGGTTAAAGTAATATTTATTCTAGCAAACATTACATTCTACTTCATTTGTTTTCAAGGCCATGTGCAACCTATGGAAATGTTCAGGAATACGGCAATGATTACATTATTTCTAAATTACACTTAATTTTGTCCTATAATTTAAAAAGACGATGCAAATCTTTCACTTGCAACATCAAAATATCACAATATCTTATTAAGAGACAAAAGCAGGCCATAAACAAATATCCATAATATTCAATTTGATGAAAAACACTTGTTGAAAGGATACATATGCTGTATATTTAACATTTCCTTCCTTTGAAAGAATACGTTGCTGCATTTTCTGAATGTTTACAATCAGGATGTAGCGTTATACAGCTAACATTTATTTTGCATTCACCATGGGTGAGAGGCCCTGGATTCAAGGGTTACTTTTTGTTTGTTTGTTATTTCATGTAATCCACTTCAAACCTGAGATGGTGGAACCATCCATTTTTGGAGTGGAAATGGAGGCTCAGAGATGCCCAGTAAATTGCCTGAGCTTGCAGTTCATAAAAGGATGGAGCTGGAACTCAAACCCATGTGTATCTGACACGAGATCATGCTTTGAATGTTAGGCTGTGCTGCCTCAGAGAGAGGAAAACAGAGGATGCATACCAGTTAGGGCGGACTAGATGTTATTGTGGGTAACAGATAGCCCCAAAATCGTAGGGCCTTATAATAAGGGAAGTATCTTCCTTGCTCATGCCACATATCCACCATAGTCCTCTTGGGAGCGGGTTAAAAGAGCACCACCAGTAACTACCAGGTGCTCTAAGTGATGGAGAGTGGTGACCAGACTCAGTTGTTCCCAAGTGTTGTGTTCGAGGTGGCACACTTCACTCCCACTCACATTTCACTGGTCAGAGCATGTCACAGGGCTGTGTCCAGCTTCCCAGGTCAGAGGACAATGTGACATGCTTGGTGGAGCCTATGAGGCCACCACGTGGTGTCAGCCTGTCTGGGGGACTGCGCAGGGGCAAAGGAGGGACGTGGGGCATTGGTAGGAAATGACAGCAGGGCTGTCATTGACGTGAGACATTGGAAGGAAATGACAGTCAGGACGGGTTTGCTTCATCCTCAACCAGGTGGAATTTGTCCCAGAGCTGCCCAAAACCATCACTGGCAAGATTAAGAGAAGTGAACTTCGGAGAAAGGAGTTTGGTCAGAAGTAATCAGTAAACACTCAGAAACCACTGTGTGATCTTGCTCTAATCCCTGGCTGCCTCAGTTTCCCCACTGTGAAAGGGTGAGCAGGGGAATATAGAGCATTGTTTTGTCAGAGCATCAGGAGTGTCCACATTCTAGGTTTCTGGTTCTTTTCAGTTAGCATCAGCTATTGCCCTCCCTTCACATCCTTGGGTCACTGCTCTGAGTGTGGCCTGGGTAATAAAACACTAACTTCAGCATCCAGGGTGACCTTGTGTTGTGCTTTTCTTCTATTAATGAACTGGCACTAAAAGCTATCCCTCCATAATTCTCCCAAGTCCCATCAGAGAAGGCTCTGGGCCAGATTCTTCCCCCTGGATCCAAGCACCCTGGCTGACTCCTTATGCCCGTTCCACAGCTAGGACACAGAGGTCAGGGGGGACACTCCTGGGGCCCCAGGTGACCACCTCTGCCTGGCTTGCCCATGCCCTGCTGGAGGGTGAGGCCTGGGGCAGATCTATTGAGGTGGCTGGGGAAGGGGGCAGGGGCTGAGGGCAGCCCAGAGTGGTGATTCCACTTGCTTGCACGACCATGGCTCACTGCTCCATCCACCATCCCATGGATCTGCTGCGTCTGCTGCCTCTGACTGCTGCTGCTGCCCCAGGCCCCCAACCTGCACCAGCACAGGTGAGTGAGGGATCTGCCCTTTGGGGACCCGTGAGTCCCTCAGGACTCCTCCAGCTCTTTCCTGAGGTGCTCAATCCCGCATTCCTTCCAGGGTGCCCAGGAGCTCTGTTCCTCAGCCCTCTCAAGGGGCCCCCACTCATCACCCCTCCCAGGGCCCAGGAATCCCTCGGCCTCGCCAGGGGCCCAGAGCCCTCCCCACACGTTATCACCTCCTGCTGCCATCTGCAGCCCTGCCAGCTGCTGGCCTGTGGTCCTGTGAGCTGCCCCTTCCTTGGGGACCGAGGTGGCACCACAAGGAAGGACACTGGAGGTCGGGTGAAAAATGGGTAGAGGGAGCTGAGCCTCAAGGTGGGGGAAGCACATAGTGTCCCTGCTCACCCACCCCAGGAGTCACCCTCGAAGGGCCCCCTTTGCAGCTGCTTATTTCTGAGGTGCACAGACACACACGGGCAGAGAAGGAAACAGGCACCCCAACCACAGGGACACACAGGCATGGAGCCACCCACAGGTTCATCTGGGGACTCAGGTATGGGGCTCATGGACAGGCTCACACAGAGACCCACACAGCAGACACAGACACCCTGAGGGGAACACACTCACACACACAGATATACATACATAAAAGTATACATACACTCAGGGTCATGTGAAATAGCCCCATGAAACAAGCTCTACATACACTGGATGCACACACAGAGAAAACACACACACACTTATATACAGGTATGATCAGGAACACTGAAAGGGGAGCACATTCATACACACACACACACAACCAATACACACAGACATGGAACACAGATACATCCAGTCACTCCCTCAGGGATATAGGTCACCCAACAACATAATATAGCCACACAAATATTTACACAAGAAAGATACTCATTCAGAGACATAAATACAGACACACATGCATACACACAAACATGGAGAAAGACACATGTCTTTCTTAGAAAATGGCAGAAAACTCATATCCAGAGTCAAAATACCCACAGACACAGAACTCAGACTCATGGTGCATATTGCAGATTACACACACACACACACACACACACACACACACACACACTCCAGGACAGCTTAGACACTCCAGTGGCAGCCACGACAAGAAGGGGTGCACAGGCCCTGGCATGACCTGCGCATCTAAGTTGTCATGGAAGGGGGTGTTTTCATGGATCCAACCCACTGCTGGGCATCTGCCCCATGTCAATGCCTTATGGAGGGTTGTGCCCAGACCTATATTCCAGAGAGTGGCCAGGGTAGGGTGGCCATAGTGACAGGGGCACAGGGTAGGGACAGGGGACACTTAGGTGGGAGTTTGAATGAAGCCTGTTCAAGAGAGGGAGACAGGGGAGTCTCCCCAGGACCCTTGGGGTGTGTAGAGTGGACAGTACCCTCTCCCATAACAATAGCACTAATGGCATCATCAGAACTAGTATATGACAGCATTCTTGTCACCACAGTGATTAATGACCATAAGCCTGAGGTGGAAGATCCAGGCTGTGACCTTGCTGTCTGGTTAGGCCTCATCTTCTGTACTGGCTGACCCGGAGCAAAGCTGGGCGGTGGGGCCAAGCATTTCTGTGGCGCTTGCTCCCTCTGGAGTTTCCAGGCCCCAGCTTCCCCCTCTCCCAACATCTCCTCTCAGACCCAAGTCAGCAGTGACCCTTTTCTCAGCCTGGGTGCAGCCTTCCCTTTGAGGGCTTTGAACGTGGCTCCCCATCTGTGCAAGGAGTTAGAGATGCTACGGGCCTCTGAGTCCTGAGAGATGTCTGCAAAAGAAAAGGCTTAGTTAGCACAGGCCTGAACCAGGAGGGAGCTGTGGTTTTCACCTTTGTTGCCTTTAACAGCTGTGCACCTTTTAAGGCACCAGACTTGGAAGACACATGCCCCATGGAGGTGATGACGTTGATATCCACTAGTGCTCAGCACATGACTTCCTCTTGTTCTGAGCACAGTTCTGGACACAGATATGGACACTCCCATTTTACTGAAGGAAACCAGCCCAGGGTCACACAGCTTGTATGCAGCACAGCTGGATCTCAAACTCTAGGCTCCTGTCCCTGCCCCCAGAGGCCACGAAGGGCTCCCCAGATGGGAAGCTGACATTGACTTTGGGGCCACTTCCTCACCTCTGTGAATGATCTCACTTGTTTAAGGCCTCCAAAACTCTGTTCACTCCTTCTTCTTTCCCTGGCCCCTGCTGCAGTTTCAATCAGGGTGGCCCTGGCCACCCTTCATGGAATTCCTTAGGCCCTATTAGAATCAGGCCCATTCTCCCAATCACTTCTGGGCCAGTCTTACTCCATCCTTTCTGTAGCTGGTCTCTCCTTGTATAACTAGGACAACCCAGACATGGGGCTCTTGAGGCAGACATCAGCATCTAAAGGGAATGTAACACTATTGGTTTTTCACTCCTTTTTTGTTTTGGTCTTGCTTGTTTTTTTTTATGGTTTCTTTGTATTTAGGTTGGAGGCATTGCTTTGCTATTTTAGCAGTGCCAGAATGGTTCCGCCTGTTACAATCAGTTTACATACAAATAAAAGTGAGGGGATCCAGAGCAATGATCTTCAGCTGCCTTGGACCTGAAGGAGTTGGGGAAACATTGTGTCAGTCACGTAGAGAAACTATTTAGGAAGCTCAGCTCAGGACAGAGCCCAGGACAGGAGATCACAGTGGGTTTGTCTAGTCACCTGGGTCGCTGGCCCTTGCCCACCTGCTTGGCCCTCCCCACCCAGCACACCCTGGCATTGCCAATAAACTGGTTTGTCCCTGGTCCCCCAGGGGAGAAGCTGATGAAGTATTTCTCTTAAAATGCTCTCATTCCTGGAGATCCCATGTGAGTTAGCTGGATTTCCCCCCTGTAAGGGTCGTAATGTACAGCCCATGCTAATAGGTAGGAGGGTCGCACAGATAAGTGACACTTTTTGTGTCACTGTTTGTGGTGTTAAAATGTCTACATCATTTAGGGATGGTGTGGGGACCAGACAGTCTTCTCACACCAATATACCAGGATATTCCAGGCCAGGAGACATGTTTTTTTATAATTTTATCCTGCTCATATCATTGAGTTCAAATATTACCCTTTTTCTTTGGGATTTCTTGACTCATATTCTACTCAGTGAGGAACTTCTCAATTTCTAAACATATGGGAATTTCTGTTACCCTTTTTTTTTAAATGTTTTTTTATTTATTTCTAGGAGAGAGAGAGACAGCATGAGCAGGGGAGGGTCAGAGAGAGAGGGAGCCACAGACTGAAACAGGCTCCAGGCTCTGAGCTGGCAGTCAGCACAGAGCCCGATGCGGGGCTCGAATCCACGAACCGCGAGATCATGACCTAAGTGAAAGTCGGACGCTTAACCGACTAAGCCACCCAGGCCCCCCTCTGTTACCCTTTTATGAGTGATTTCTAGCACATTCTTTACCAAAACATGCTCTGTGTGATTTCATACCTCTGAATTCATTTAATTCCTTTGAAATTTCCCTTATGACCACAATAAATAGGGTGAATTTTTATAACAATCCTCTGTGCCTAAAGTTTATGTGTCCTCTACAGTATTATGTACCTATTCTACTAGGCTTCTGGTGAAGTCTGTTGGGTTTTCTATGTAGAGTATCATATCGTCTGTGAAAAGTGAGAGTTTGACTTTCTCTTTGCCAGTTCTGATGCCCTTTATTTCTGTTTGTTGTCTAATGGCTGATGCTACGACTTCTAGCACTATGTTAAACAATAGTGGTGAGAGTGGACATCCCTGTCGTGTTTCTGATCTCAGGAAGAAAGCTCTCAATTTTTCCCCGTTGAGGATGATGTTAGCTGAGGGCTAATCATAGATGGCTTTTATGATGTGTAAGTATGTTCCTTCTATCCCGACTTCCTCGAGGGTCTTTATTAAGAAGGGACGCAGTATGTAGTCAAATGCTTTTTCAAAATCAACAGGATCATTTTTTTTTCTTTTCTTTTGTCGATGTGATGTATCACATTGATTGATTTGCGAATATTGATCCAGCCATGTAACCCAGAATAAAACCCACTTGATCTTGGTGGATAATTCTTTTTATGTGCTTTTGAATTCGATTCGCAAGTATCTTGTAGAGGATTTTTGCATCTGTATTCAACAAGCATATTGGCCTGTAGTTTTCTTTTAGCTGGATTTTGCCTGGCTTGGGAATCAGTGTGATGCTGGCTTCATAAAAGAAGTTGGAAGTTTTCCTTCAATTTCTATTTTTTTAAATAGTTTGAGACGAATGGGTATTAATTCTTTTTTAAGAGTCTGGTGTAATTCCCCAGGGAAGCCATCTGGCCCAGGGCTCTTATTTTTTGGGAGATTTTTGATAACTGATTTGATTTCTTCACTAGTTATGGGTCTGTTCAGATTTTCTATCTCTTCCCATGTGAATTTTGGTAGTGAGTGTGTGATTAGGAATTTGTCCATTTCTTCTATGTTGTCCAATTGGTTGGCATATAATTTTTCATAGTATTCCCTGATAATTGCTTGTATTCCTGACGGGTTGGTTGTAGTCCATCAATTTTCACTCATGATTTTGTCTATTTGAGTGCTCTCTCTTTTCTGAGAAGC